CATACATACATACATACTTACTTACACATACGTAGATACGTACGCGAAAACACACATACGGGGAGGGTTGTACTAGGAAGCTCATGGAACATGGGACTTGAAGAACATTTAGAGTAACCAAGGTGGTTTTGAGGCTTTTCAACTTTAAACCCTCAACCCTCGACCCAGGAACTCAAATCAGGAACTAAAATACTGCTATTATCATCGCATACAACCAGCTCAGTCACGTCCTTGTAACCTTACTTGGTAAGTCCCAGATCCACCCCAAAAACCAATGAACATGTCCTAAGAACCCGCATAGAACCCAGATAAAAAAAACTGGAAACTTACCTACAAAGTCCGTGATCCTCCAAGAAAGACATTCCGACAAGCAGCCGGGCTTTGTAGCCGGCTTTTCCAGGGTGGCTGCCTTGGTGTTCGCCGTCGGCGATGCCTGCGAACACGGCAGGGCAGAGGGGCCTTCGGATGTGGGGTTGGTAGGCTTACCAATATGACGGTTACTTTGTAAGGGGGATGTTACAACACGAAATCTTGAGAGGTTCTGCAAGGGTTTCTTTTGGGTTAAGGGGCTGAGGGGCTTAGAGATTTCAGGCTTCAGGGGTCTCGAGTTTAGAGGTTGCCAGGGTCTAGGAGTTAAGGTTCGTGGCTTCGGGGTTAATGAATGTAACAAAACTAACTACTAATACTGACAGTAGTAATAACAACAAATAACAATGATGATGATTATAAGACTAATAACATATACTGTATGATAGTGTGTGCGTACGTATATAACTATACCTTTACACACATTGGGTTTTCGAAACGAGGCCTTAACATCCACTGACCGCGTCAGCGTCGCTGAGGCAGACTTCGTCAACAGCGTCTTCCTGGACTTGAGAGTCTTTGTACTGGGAGCCCAAAAGAACACTCCAAACCGAACGTCTTGAAGGTGCATGGAGGTATTGGGGTAGAGCCCTTAGAGACCTTCTTAGGGTTTTCCAGGTTTGCTTTGAGGATCACGGTATTCAGCAGCTAAGGTTATAAAGAAGGTAACAATAGCCATTCGTACTTAGCCACAATCTGTAAGTACGACATAGGGGTATCAGGACGGCGCTTGGGCCAGAAGTATCCGAACTGCTCATAGCGCAGTAAGGCTTAGAGCAGAGGATTTGAGGATTCAGCTTTCTTCCAACCTCCAAATTACAAGTGCGAATCACTTCCACGGAGTATCGAACGAGTACGTCGGGTCTTCGAGGTAGCTTCGGGAACAAGGTGTGGAATTTTCGGTAGTCACACTAGTCCAGAAACTTTGCAATCAAGGACTTAGCAAGTCTTCCTAAGGTTTGCTGGGTTGAGGCTGTGGACTGTGCGGCTTGAGGGGGCTCGAGATAAGCGGTGTAGATCAGGCTACTCAGGTCGGGCAGGCTTGCTTTCGAGAAGCTCACTCGGCTAACGTTGTTCGGTAGTTGCCGCGCTACGCCTTCTGATGTTCAACATTCAACCCTAAACTCCAACCACTACGTCACATTACGTCACATTCAACAAACCTTTGAACCGTAAACGCGGACAGTGTCTTTACAAATTTGCACAGAATGCGTTGGAAAGCACCTCGCAAAGGTGCTTCGGCTTGCGGATTAAAGGAGTACATACAATACATATGGCGAAGAGTAAGGTAACTATGCTTCTGTAATCTTGTATACTTATGACATGTTATGACACATAGCCTCGTATACTTAATTATGCTAGCTATAACCTTACGCTCCTCAATTGGCGAAACTTATCGAAACCGTAAACCTTAATATCCCAAACCCGGACCCCGAATCTTACATGTCCGAGGTCCGACAAGTACAAACGACGAAAACCCCGAATGTGGGAAGACCTAGTCGTCGCTATGTAGGTGCTAAGACTCATTACCAGGAAGTCTCCAATTCTGGTCTGGAAATCAATACACTCTGGATCGCAAGCCCTGTGCTGAAAGATCAGTTTGCATGTGGTCGCCACCATCAAACTCCAGATGGTTGTGGTCATGGCGTGGATATTAACTGTCGAGAGCAATGCCAATGCCGACCTTGATGCTGAACTGAGGTGATACCCCTTCTCAACATGTCGCCCGAAGCAGAACCATTCGGGCAAGTGGTTATACTGGGCAATGCTACAATCAGGATCCCGAAACGCAAAACCCGCGAGGACAAACATCATGTTGCAAGCCAGAAGCTTAGTCAGAGATGGCACTGCCTGGCATGTGAAGGATTTGTGCTTTCAGGACTGAGGGTGTGGGGTGTTCTACCTTCGGAAGACCTTTGTTGAAACAACCCAGACATGGGAGCTGCTCGGTGTTCCACTTAAGAGCACCTTCTGCCCCACCCTAAATCCTAAACCCTACGCCCCAATCCTTGAACCCGCTAGACTGTGGGGCTCCTCTAAGAGCACCTCATCTGGAGGACCGTTCTCTTACAGCCGTTGGCTGATACACGGATAGCCATGAGGACAGGGACACAGCCCCGTACAATGAACCCATCGACAGAACCTGAGACAAATAAATCCGCGAAGCTCTAATGCAGATGGGCTGACAACCCAGCATTTTTTGGTTCCATAGTATGATTATATGCTTCCTCACTTGCTCAACAAAAATGGTTTGGCACTCTTGCGTGTGTCTGTGTGTCCAGCAACAGAGTGTCTGTGCCTTCTTCCACGATGCTGGTCGTATGCTTGCAGCTCAGAGCCCTGAAGCTCGTGCGCTCCGCCCACGCCAGAAGCCCTCTAGGACTCCAGGTCCAACTAAAGCCGGGCCCTGACGAACCCTGCACAAATGCCACCTGCACCCCGGGCTTCGCCGCCGATGCGCCCGTCACAGGCGAAATCGCCGGCGCCGTGTGGCGAGGCCGGCGCAGCTGGATCTGAAGCCGAAAAAGGCAGGGCAGCCGTGTAGGGTTTTCGGTTCAGGGCTTGGGGCCTAGGGTTTTAGAATGAGGATCTGGGGTAGGCTATGCGGAAATCACATAAGGACTCGACTCGTTTTGTCATGTGCGAGGCTGTTGGGAGGGGTTCAGAAGAGCGGGCGTGCCTCGTTTACGGGTTCAGTTACCCGGCTATTTAATGCAAAATGGTGTTTCGGGCTCAGAATCTATGGAATTACAGCCTATGATGTATATGGATCTGCAGCGGGTAACGTGGAAGGAGTCTAAATCTGCTTTGAAGGCTGTGTCTGCAAAGGCTCGCAAGTCTTTGTGATGCAGTGTTCAGGGTTTCCGGAGTAATGGTTCGGTCAGACTTTCTGTATGTGAAAGAGAGAGAGAGAGAGAGAGCGGCTTGAAGCATTTAAAGCTGAATGACTTAAGATTGGAAGGTTGTAGGCCTCAAAAAGAGTTTACAAGAAGAGTTCAAGAAGAGTCCGAGCACCTGTCTGAGTTGGCTGTACTATGGTTTGGCGCGAAGTCTGTGCTCGTCTTGCAGTGCGGTCAAGGGTCTTAAAAGGCTGGCTTGCACATCTCTGCCCTAAACCCCAAACCAGAACCCTGAGCTCAAAACCCGAATTACAATACGAATAGTCATCATACTTATTGTAACAGTAATTGCTGAAGTGCATCCCACCTTTGTAGCTCACGTCGCATGTACATGTGAA